CCGGGCTGCCGCTCTGGCTGCTTCTAGCAGAGCTGGTGGGGATCTTTCAAGGGGCTTCAACCGGTCCCTGACCCTCCCTGAAAAGGCAGGGAGTACCCTAACCCTTCTCCTACCCTTCCCCTCCTCCAGCTGGCTGTCCTGGAGGACTACGCAGATCCCTTCGATGCGGCGCAGGTGGCTGGTAGCCAGGCAGGGCTGGAGAAGGTGACGGAGAATGACGGATACATGGAGCCGTACGAAGCCCAGAAGATGATGGCTGGTAAGGTGTAAAGCTCCATGTGCGCGTCTGGCTGGTCCTGGCTGTGTGAATCTGGTGGCCGCTGTACTCCGTTACTTGCAGCCTGAGACAGCGCCAGGTCCCCCAGACAAGGCAAACCCGGGCAATCGGTGGCACACGGCCGCTTTGCAGGCCAATCCTCCCAGCTTTGGCCGCGTGCAGTGGGCCTGCCGCAGCTGGAGCACTCGCTAAGGCTACCCGAGCAGTAAAGGATGTCTCCCTGTTGTGCTACCCCCGGGACCACGGTGCCTGCTTGCCCGGCTGAACCAGGAGAGACGTGACATTTATGTATCTGGCATAAAACTAAGACGGATGTGGGAGCTGTTTAATTGGGTTAGGCCTGGGCCAGAGCGTGCCGTTGTCTGCTGCAGCAGCGGGGTCCCCAGTGGGCTCGTTTCCCGGCGAGGTGAGAGCACGCGGTGCGCGCAGGGTCGCCGTGCCGGCTCGCACGCTCCGGGCTCTGGCTCTGCTTCGCAGTCCCGTGGTTTTCCTGGAGCCGGTGGTTTCCGGAAAGCTCACTTGGTGTTTCTTGGAAAAATCGGCAAGCGGTGAAGGGGCTGCTTGCATCTGTGGGAGAGATTTTTGTTTTGCCTGAAGGAAGGGCATTTTATTAAACTAGCCACAGTGGGGGTCCAGAGAAGATGCTGGCCATGCTGCTCGCAGGGAATCGGGCTCTAGGATGCCCTGTCCTCATGGACCCTGCTTCGCAGGGCTGCCCGAGAGTGGGAATGTTGTACTGTGGGGAGAGAAGGTATCTTGGTGTTGTGGACTGCTCAGGACCCAGCTGCCCAGCAGCTTCCCTGCTTCCAGCAGGTGCTTGCTGGAGTTTTAGGGCTCTGCTTTGTTGCTGATGCTCCCTGCCCCACATTGCCCATAGGTGAAATCAAGCCCTTTCATCAAGCAGGACTTTGAGGACCTTGGCTGGGCTGTGTTGGGCAAAAATCTCATGGTCTTTTCCCTCTTCTCCGGCTAGAGATCCGCCAGAAGGGCTTACGGGAGGCTCCTGCCCGGCCGCTGCACCTCTACGACACTCCCTATGAGCCTGTGCTTGGAGGGCTGGATATGAATGGTGACCGCCTGGCTTGTCCCAGGCCCAGGGAGTCCCGGCTGCCCGAGGATGACGAGCGGCCACCGGAGGAATACGACCAGCCCTGGGAGTGGAAGAAGGAGCGGATCTCCAAAGCCTTCGCAGGTGAGTGATGGCCCAGGAAAAAAAGGGGGGCACCAGCCATAAAGGGACCGATGCTGCATTGCGTTTTGCAGGGGGAAGCTGCCTCCTGGAGTTCCTTCGTCCTTTGAGGGTCAGTAGTGTTGGCCTTGGCGTTTCCATGGCTCAGGAACTGCTCGTGCACTTGCAGAAGCTGTTTCTCTTCAGCAGGGGGGCAGGCCGGG